AAAACAAAACACAACAAGAAAGAAAACCTTGTAGTTAGTTCTAGGACTGTTGGCCTTTAGGAGTGCAAAACATACTTTTCATCTGTAATTTAAGATAAAAGGAAGGTAATTATTTAGTAATAAAAGTTTCTAAAAATATTTATAGATACATATAAATATAAGTATAGATATGTATCTCTATGGAAAGCGGGTGTTTCATTTCTCTTTTTTATCTTCTTTTGATTAGTTACTGAACACCCACTATTGTGCTACTCGTGAAGCATTGTAATGTGTCTGCCTTGAAATCAAATGCACTCTGTGAAGGTTGACTTTGGAATTTTACAGCTTAAATACGTCTGAAATATCTGTAGTCTTTTTGGTAGATATTGATTCTTCCAATGTCTAATACAATATACTCAAAGGACTAAAAACCAGGTCCATAAAATATAAATCTCCATTAACTATGGTAGGATTAAGCCCATAAAGTATTAGATGCAGCAGTTTTTGTTTTATCCCATTAGGACAATTAAAAGAATAATTCTTGTTTGTGAATCAACTCACCTACGTCTGAGCCACTACTCTAGAAGCATAACACATTTGTGTTCTCTTAGGTGAATTCCAGATTTTTTTTAGGTACACTTAATCAACCACTGTGGTAGATTGTAATCCTTAAAATCTCTTGGGAAAATACACAGACACACTCACTAAACATGCATTGTCATTACTGTATGTTTCAGGCTCCAAATGAGAATACTTTAAAAATTCGTTTCTAAAGTTTTTGAAGTGCTGTGAAATGTCACTTATATCTGAGGGGTATGCCCCCTGACCTTGCTGGCTGGGAACACAAGGTGCTGGCCATCAAGTGCTGCCTGTTAAGCTAAATTTTACTGCACACTGTACAATAGCTCGCCATTCTCTGGAACTTTGTCTTTCTTTGAAAAGCAAGTAAATGCTAGGAGTCAATTTTATGTAATTTTTCAAATGTCTTGAGTTACATATGCTTAACTAGTTGATCGAAAGTAGATTAATACTATTTTGAGACTAAGTCCACATTTAAGAGCAAACATACACAGACACAGACATAATGCATTTCCTTCCTGAGTACTGTTTGAGAGCTAAGCTAAAGGCTGGGGATATTCATGGTCATTACTTCTAGCCTGAGTGGTAAGAGACACTCGTTAACTAGGAAATTACATGCTATATAATAAGCACATTATATGTAAAATATGAGCTAGAGCATTCCCAGTTTGTCATAATTTTTAAAGGAAAATGATAAAGAAATACTCTTTTTTTTCTTTTTAAATTTTTATTGTAATTTAGGTGAAAGTTTTCAGAGCAATTTAGTTTCTCATTCAATAATTGATATGCAATTTGTTTTGTAACATGAATCGTAATCCCCACAATGTAACAACAGTGCTCTTCCTACGTCCTTTGTTTCCTGTTCCTTTCTATTGTCTGAGCTTTATTCCTGGACAAAGATTGCCTTATTGAGCTCATATTTATTGCTCGAGGAGTGTGTAGCTCCCTGGTGTTATTTATAGGCCTATCTCGTGTTTAGCTGAAAATTGAATCATGAAAATTAGTCAGAATGACTAAGGACCATAGTCTTGAGGGGCCCACCAGTCTCTCTCAGTAAACCTGGTCTGTTTTATGAGTTTGAGTTTTCCATATTTCTCCCCCACTTTATTGAGGGTCTCCCACTGTGTGGTCCCTTTCAGAGTTGTTAGCAGTGTTAGCCATGTACCATCTGTTTCTTCTGGTCTATTCTTTCTTTCCTATTAACGGATTCTAAAGATCATCATTGAAGCAGGAAGGTTTTTGTGTAGTAACGTAGAATAAAGGTACCACACTCCAATGCTTGCATTAGACACTATTATGTTTGCATTAAACTGAGTGATATAATTCAATTTATATATTTATAGTGACCAGGCAAAAATTCTGCCAATAATGGAAAAATATAAAAGAAAGGCTTACTATATGTGGGGAGAAAAATATAAAAGAAGGATTTTCTATATTTGGGGTGAAAGAGACCACTATAATATTTTTTATAAAATCTTTTAAAAAATGATTTAGTCACAGCCACTTGCCTTCTTGGAAGAAGATATCCGGGAAGTGTTAAAAGAAGAAACTGGAACAGACATATTCCTGAAACAGGAAGACGAACCTGCTTATAAAAGCTGCAAGCAAGAGGTGCTCTTTTAGTATTATAGTTAACGAAAGTCTCCTTTTGTCCAGGCTACTCTGCCATAATGTTCCTATTGTACATTGTTCATTCTAGCGCACTGCTTCTGTGAAGAAAGTCAGAAAATCACTAGTTTTAGACCATTGGGATAAAGAAGAACCAGATACTCAGCTCTTAACTGAGGACACTTCAGACATGCAGGTTTGTCAAGAAACGGTTCTTTTTAATGCAATGGTTGCTTTAAGTCTGGGTTTTTGTCTTTTATTCATTGTGTGACCAGTTCCTTAGAGATGGAGTTCCTTCGGTACCATTCTGCCTAATTCAGAAGAGACATGATTAACTATAGAGTATTTTACTTATATGCTTATTTTTTATATTTGTTGTGTTTTGACGGAAGTTCACCCTCTTAGGTATGATATCAAAAATGGCAGTTCTCAAAACCTCAAAATTCAGTGCTAACCTTAATTTCCAAGATATTAAATATTATATTACCAGCATTTCATAAGAGCCAAAAGATTTTTTTGGAGGGAAAGGAGCAGGGCTTCCATTACCACTTACTCCATAGTCCTATTTGTCTTCACTTTTGAGTTAGGTATTTTATTTTCCTCTTTTTTTTCTCTCTCTCCCTTAGTCAGAAAATATATTTACAACATCTTTATTAATGATACCATTATTGGAAATACATGACAATAGGTGCAACTTGACTCCTGAAAAACAAGATATAAATTCAACCAACAAAACATGTACACTTACTAAAAAGAAACCAAACCCTACCACTTCTAAAGTGGTCAAATTGGAAAAGAATCTTCAGGTATGGATTTATGCATTTCTTTTAGTGAGTTTTGTTGTTGTTCATTAAATTTAACTTTGGATTTACTGACCACAAATTATATTTGTCTTTTAAATCCAAATTTGACCATCCCCCTTGCCGTCGAGTCGATTCTGACTCATGGAGACTGTAGGAGAGAGTAGAACTCCCCCGTAGGGCTTCGAAACAAAGCTGTCCGTCTCTGTGGAAGTAGTCTGTCTTTCAGTTAGCAGCCAAAATGCTGAGCCACAACAACACTAAGACTCCTTGAAATTAACTCTAGCAAAACAATTACCATTATTTCGTTACTCAAACTAGATTCGGATTTTTGAGAGACTCATATATCAGGGCACATATAAACTAAGTAATTAAAACTAACTTGTAGCCAAAGACTCTACTAGTGATTTTCTTAATCACTATTATTTTCTTAAAACCTATATCAATCTTCTGGCACCTCTTCTTCTATAATAAATATATTTAGTCTTAATTTGCTATTATAAAAGGGTAAGTGGTTGGAAGCTATTTCAGCATGATTTTATTGGTAGTATGATTTCTAGTGAACTTTTTGGCTCAAGAATTGTAAAACAAAATCTTCTTTTCTAGCTGTGATGTACCCAGTATAGCTGGAAATGAAGGCTGGGACATTTTCTTACTATACTGAGAGTTTATCTCAGACATTTTGATAGCTCACTGAGCAGAACATTTCCCCTTTATATCACAGTAGCTGAAGCACTGGGATCCCCAAACATGTAAGCAGGCGCTCCCTGAAAGCATCTTTGCCAACCCAACATGGTCTACTCCCCGCTGGCTTGAACTACTGCTTTCAAGATGCACATCTTAATCCCTATAAAATGATCAGAGTTGCTAGCATATAATTAACAAAGGACTGTTCAGGAAAATTTATTGCAAAGCAGTTCATGCCTATAATAGAATGACCTAACCTCACAGATAAGGGAAGAGAACAAATGAAATAAACTTGATTTTGTGTTATGAATATATTTCCTAATGTGCATGATGTAAAGTATCACTTTTGAAAGTATTTCCATCTTTTTTTTTTTTTTCAAGAATCCTGATGCAATGAAGGGCAACACCCCTCCCCTCACACACACCCCTCCCCATATTAAGATTTACTCATTTGGCTTTGGGACGAAACTAATAAGCCCTCTGCAGAGAAAGGCCTGTGAACAGTCATTATGTGCTGCCAAGTGGGTCAGACTCAACAGCCGTGTGAAACCCTGCCCGGCCCCATCCCCCTCCAGGGCTCACGGTCGAGCCCGCTGTGGCAGCCACTGTGCCAGTCCATCTCATCGAGTGTAGAAATAGCAAAATAACACACGTTTAAAAGTCGAGTGTGAACTAGTAGGGTAGTTATTGAAACGTTCACGTCACTTTTAATATTTCCTTCCTAGTCAAATTGTGAATGGGAAACAGTGGTTTATGGGAAGACAGAAGACCAACTTATTATGACGGAACAAGCAAGAAGATACCTGAGTAGTTACACGGCTACCAGCAGCACGTCCAGAGCTCTAATACTGTAACTGTTACGAGGATGGATGAAATACCCTACTTCCGTACTATTTCTACGCTAAATTAGGTTGCAATGAATTTTTTGTCAATTGTTCTTACAGTTTTAATACAGTCCTAAATGGTTTGATTTTTTTTTAACTTGATAGGCAAGAAGCTAAGCCACTGAAGTAAGGGGTAGACAATTTAATAAGTTATTTTAAAAATAAATATATTTTTAATATTTTTAAAGAATAAGACAGGGAAAATAATATTAGAATGTTCATAGATTTTCTAAAAGTAAAATTTCACATATTTTCTTCATGAGTTACATGTCATTATTCTCTTGATGCTACCTTCTGTTGTAATATGTAATGATTTCTGAAACTAGTCTTTGTATGGGAAGCACATGTGATTTTACAAAGTACTTTTGCCCGTGAACTGATTTACTTCGGCTGGCGTGTGCAAAGAAACACAGTGAAAATGAATTTAAAGTAAGGATAGGAAGTTGCACTACTTATTTTTGGTATTTTTCAAAAGCAGTAAAATGAACTACAGTGTTAAATATATTTATTTGAGCATGGTACTGAAAACAGAAAGAATCGAAAAGGGTTTTTCCCTTACTAGTACAGAGTCAGTATTTTCTTCATAAATCTCAGAAAGCTGAGAGTTTTATTGAATGTATTGTACAGTATGTAGGAGCAGGGAAACTCTGTAAATTGGAAAGAAGTCTGTTTTTATAATTTATTTTCATTTTTAAAGCTTAAATGTAGGTATTTATATATACAAATATATATACATATATGTATATAGGGCGTTTAGAAGCCAGTCTTGTTTCCTGTTGTTACAGCTAACGTGGTAAAGAAAGATTTTAATTTTTTAAGTATGAAACAGTAGTAAGTTATAGCTGCAAAGAGTACAATATCTATACTGTAGGTCACATCTGCCTAAATATTGCACTATGCCCTTTAAATCATGTTGGTTATAAAGTAGTTCTAAAAATGTACTAAATAATAATTTAATATTTTCTTTTTAAATTATATTGGGAAGGGTCATATAAATTAATCCAGTGATTTGTGTATGTGTTTGAAAAATTTTGCAATTATTTTGTTTAAAAAAATAATATGGTTTCTTGGTCCCTAAAAACAGCCTGCACTTAGAAATTTATTATATTTACTCAATGTTCCAGGAGTAGAGAACATTATTTTTTATTTATAAAGATATTTTGTCCTTTTATAAATGTTCCATGTTTCTCTACAGGTTGCAACCATTGCTTCAGTTGCCCGTTTTAGGTGTTTGCACCTATTTCTTCTTGAAAGAATGTCTCTTCTTTGCTTTTGTGGTAGATATGAAATTCTTTGAGACGTATAATGGTGTGCTGTCAATTTAGACACTGACAGGTAGATAAAATTGTACACTGTAGTTGTTATTATTTATAATTGACACACTCTCTCCCTCTCCACTCCTGAAGTGTGCTGCTATAGAAAATAGCAGATTCGGCTTGCTGCTATGAGAGGAGGGAAGAGCGACCAGCACTTGCTCTGTGTGTAAAGATAAAAGGCAGATAATAGCAAGTTCTCAAGTTAACCTAATGGAATCAGCCATTCCCAAGCACATTCTGGCATATGCTAAAACAAAATAAAAACAGCTTCAGATGATTGGTTCTGTTTTTATGTTACTAGAAACTGAAATACCAAGGATGCTAATGCCTAGCTCTTGAGCAGTAGATCTACAAAGACTTTAAGCTATTTAAATCCACCTGCTAATTTTTGCATATTTTATGTAGTGAGAAGGGAGGATGTGTTGTACTAAGATTATGCCTTATTGATAACAAATTGGTAAACCAATTTGAATCTGCTGAGCAGCGTTTGTTAACTCTGTTGATTGATTGCTTCCTAATTAATGAACTCCTCACAGAAATTTCACTTTATGAAACCAGTGATTGTAGCAAAATCTTCCTGGATCATTTCAGTTACCTTGAGCTGATAGTCTATAATGGTTCTTTTGTTGGATTTCTTTTTCTTAATGAAGCCCTTAGTTGGTTAGGACATATGCAGTCCCTCAACACCAAGGTAGAATATTTTGGAAGTGCTATATATTTTTTGAAAGTTTAGTGTTTCTTGAGCATTAACTTATCCCAAATGTAATATATTGCAGATGAACCTGGGCTTATTGAACATGGAACATATTAGTATTGGTATTGGTTGAACTGTCCAGTAGTCTGAAACATGTCGGACATCTTAAGTCATCTTTTATACTGTTGTATTACTTGCATTCCTTCCCGTATGTTGTAAAGGTGCCAGACATTTGCATAGCAGCCGTACTTGCATAGACACTGACTACACATGCGGCACACCCCAGTTTGTTGCTTTCATATTCATGTAGCAATTCCTCTGACTATGTTGAGGATTTGGTATATTGGGGAAATTATTTTAAGAGAATCTTGCATACCATGCTGATGTATGTTAACATCCAAAATAAAGCATCCGTGTACAAGCTGCTTGGGCGTTGTTCCTTTCATTTTAGGAGAAAATGTTTTGGGGTTTTATGGTCTTGTTTGAGTACATTTGGGCTCTAATAAAGGTTCTGTTCTGAGGCCCCTTTTCTCCTTTTTCTCCCTCAAAACTCCCTTTATATGTTTTGGGTTTGGGTTTTTTTTTTTGGGGGGGGGTATTGATACCATTTGACCTCTTTATTGAGTCCTTTTCAAAGTCATAATTTCAACTGCCCTGTAGATCTTTTCTTATGACTGTTTTGCTGATACCTTCACTGCAACAAACCCAAAGTACATTTTCTTTCCTGCCTTTTCTTTGTTCTCTTTCTTAGTGGTATTATTGCTGTCCGTTCTCTGACCCACTGGCTCATCTGCCCATCCCTCACCACTCTGTTGAAATCTCCAACTCATGGCCTACAAAAGGCCACTGCCTTATTGGACTAATCATCTGTTCTCCATTCCATACACATGTCAGGAAACTTCACAGTGACACTGGTAGCTGTTTCACCTGGGCAATGACTGATCATTCAGCCAGGGCTACAGTGTTCCATTGCCTTAGTGAATTCATCACTCTCCAGACTTTACTGTTAGCCTTCTATGCCCGGAGACAGGGTGGATTAGCACACTACAAATGAATTTACCTTTCAGTAAAAGACTTGTCCCAAATTTACAAGACTGACATGTGAAACCAGGATATAACTGCCAGGGGGACTACATATGATAAATATGTCCAAGCTTTTTTGGATTAAAATAAAAAAAGCTGATACTCTAGTGAAAGAGATGAATAAAGTCAGATGAATCAAGTAGCTGAATTTCCTGTTATGCAAGAGTAAGCCAAAAAATACTGCTACCAAAGAATAGAACCCTTTATTAGCTAAAAAGATCAAGGTGTTGTTTCTAGACATGAGACTGATAGGTAGAACCAGTCAGCTGGGTGTGAAATATTAACTGCCAGGGAACAACACTCATTCTTTTTATGAGAGCAGAAATAAATGAAATACACATTCAGACCTGGTCATTGTCTCCTATTTTAAGACCTGGCATGACTCTGTGTTGTCTGTTCTAGTCATCGAGGTCTGTTGTTAGGTGCCAACTCATACCGACCCGATGTACAACAGAACGAACACCGCCCAGTCCTGTGCCATCTTCACGCACATGAGCCCAGTGTGCCAGTTCATCTCATCAAGGGTCTCCCTCTTTTCACTGCCTGCTCCTCTGCTTTCTCAAGCATGATCCTTTTCCAGGGACCGGTCTCTCCTGGTCACATGTCTGGCTGGACTTTCTCCAAAACAGATTTGTTTGTTCTTTTAGTAGTCCACCGCATTTTAAATGTTCTTCACCAGCATCATAATTCAAATGCATTCATTCTTTGGCCTTCCTTGTTCAATGTTGGTCTTCCAACTTTCAAAGGCGTATGAGGCAATTGAAAATACCCTAGTTTGGGGCAGGTGCACCTTAGTCCTCAAAGTAACATCTTGCTTTTCAATACTTTTAAGAGGTCTTGTGTAGCAGGTTTACCCAATGCAATGCATTGTTTGATCTCTTGACTGCTGCATCCACAGGCATTGATTATGGACCCAAGCAAGACAAAATCCTTGACAACTTCAATCTTTTCTCCATTTGTCTGACGTTACCAACTGGTCCAGTTGTGAGGACTCTGGTTTTCTTTACATTGAGTCGTAATCCACATTGAAGACTACAGCCCCTGATCTTCGTTAGCAAGTGCTTCAAGTCTTCACTTTCAGCAAACAAGGTTGTGTCATCTGCATATTGCAGGTTGTTAATAAACCCTCCTCCAATCCTATTAAGCTGCATTCTTTTTTCATATAATCCAGCTTCTCTGATTTTTGCTCAGCAGACAGATTGAGCATATATGGTGAGAGGAGACAGCCCTGACACACACCTTTCTTGGTTGTAAACCATCCAGTATTCCTTTGGTATGTACTGCACTGAATCCTTTACATACATTATCTTGTCCAATTGTCACAGTGACCCTATGAAATAAACACGTTATAATCCATTAATGTTAATATGAAAATAAGCCACGGATAAGAGGCTTGTCCAGGTTCACGCAGTAAATGCTGAGTTGGTCTTCTACACTGCATTTGAGTTGATTCCTATGGACACAATAGAATGTGTATTTGTATATGATTCCACTTATAGAAAATTACAAAACCTGACAATATGAATCTATGCTGTTAGAAACCAACAGAGTGGTGACTCGGGTTGGGGTGGGGCTGGAAGAACCCCAGTAATTTCGTGAGTGTTATAATGCCCTATTTCTTGGTCTGGGTGCAGGCTTCATGGATATGCTCCGTTTGTGAAATTTCAAGCTCTGCTATGTATGTTTTTCTACCCATTATGTGCCAACAATATGTTTTTTACAAAATTAAGCATAGGTTGGGTGGGTAGTAGTGGGAGGTAGTGGTGGTAGTGAGAGGGGAATGCCAAGAGGAGAATGTAATGAATTATTCTTCACGCTATTCCATTAATATGTTTCCTCATCTGAATCTAAAGTGATTAGCTATTAACTTCTTAGTATTTGTTCTTGGATTATTTCTTCTGGTAAAGTATATTTATACTAAACCACTTGAAATAAATAAATATTTCTTTGGGCTATGTATATACCACATAGACCTGCTGGATGCATATTCTTCATGCCCAATGTTGCCTGTTCACCCAGTGCTTGCAGGCTAGTAGGCCTCTCTCCAGTTTACTGAACACGTTCACTTTCATTAACTAAATAGTCAGAAAAAGGGCTTCTATTGGGTTAAAAAGAAAAATCTTATCATTCTCAGTGGATTGTAAGTTCTTTGAGACCAGAGACTTTGTATTGCTCACCGCTGCGTGTCCAGCATTTGCACACTACTTGGTTCTATGTGAAACACTAGTATATGTGATACAATGGAGAGCAGACACAGACAGACGCTGTTTGCCTGGTGAAACTTGGAGCAAAGAGATAGTGTAAGTCTAAATGCTACGAAGGAAAGACATACAAGTTCATGAGCGGTTGTGACAAAGAACTCTGATCTATTCTGTTTTCATCTGAAGAAAAAAAACCTGAGTTCTGACAGATTGGTGGACATGGTATAAATAGGTAAAAAAAAACTGGGGAGGAACATAAAAATGGGAAGGCTTCATGCTGGAGCAAGCGTTCCAGATTCAAAGACTCATGGCAAGGGTGGCTAAAGAAGGGAGACTTTTCGGGGAGGTGGAGAATGCTACAGAGGAGGCTCATGTGGAACAGAGGGCCAGACTTCTTAAGTTTTGGATTCCCCTGAAATAGACTCAAATGGAAATGCATGTGAAAGGAAATTTACTACCCTTATGATGAACCCCAAGGAAGGGAGCAAGCAGGATAGGGTAGAGGCGCACATGAGCTGCAATGCAGCCCCAGGGAAGC